CTCCACAGTTCCAACAACCTTTCTGGGTAGTAGCCTTTGCTGCCGTGGCATCTTCCCTGTGTTGAAGTTGCCGGCATTGAGCTCTCTTGTGCCTAGGTTTGTTACAGTGCCAGCAAAGTCCCTCAAACTTCTCTGAGAGCTGCTCTTTTCTGGCCTTGAATCCTGATGACTGTACAAACCTTGGTACCTCTGTGCTGGACTTAATGTAAGATTCGAATTCAAGAGCTCTGGCAATTGCATCTTGCAAAATACAGGGGTGAGCTTGCTTTACATGTATCTTCAGTTGTGGACTGTCCAAGGCATCTACAAACTGATCCCTCAGTAACAGGTTGAGGACATCGGGTGGTGCAGTTGGGTAGGCCTTGTGTGCCATACTTTCCAAATCCTATGCCAGTTCTTGCAGGCTTTCCCCTTTAGCATAGACTCTAGTCCTAAACCTAGCCCTGTAGACTTCGGACTGATTTTGAGTTCCATACCTAATTTCTAGAGCAGCTACAAGTGCTCTATAGTTGTGCCTGTCATCTGTCCAAGTATTTCCAGTGGTTGTGCCTTCAAGCTTGTTGCCAGGTATTCTGCTTTCTGCTCCTCTGTCCATCCATTCATTTCTGCCAGGAGCTCAAATTGTACTCTATATGCTTCCCATGGTGCCTTCCCATTGAATTCCTGTGGCTTCCTTCGTACTAGATCACCCCTATTGCTGACACTCATGTCTGGAATGTGACTTCTGGCAGGACTGAAGATGTCTGCATTAGGGTTTAGCTGCAGGTTCTGGAAGGAGCTTCCTGTTGTCTGGGGCTGATTAGGTCCATGGCTAATGTATCCGCCTTGTGTATCATCCTTTAATGTATTTAATTCACTTTGAAATTTACTAATATTTTCCATTTGTACTTCTTGTTTCCTTTCTTGTTCCAGTTGCCACTGGTGCTGGTTTTTTGCCACTGTTGTAGTCTCTCTTCTTGTTCATTTTCTTTCTCCTCCAACCACTGCTGCAGTCTTTCTTCTTGTTTATTTTCTCGTTCTTCATGTTTCTTTTCTTTTTCCTCCAACAACTGCTGTAATCTCTCTTGTTTTATTTTTCATTCTTCTTGTTTCTTTTGCTGTTCTTGTATTGCTACCATCAAATCTGCTAAGCTGTAGTTTGATTTGCCACTTCTTGTTTCCCTTTTTTTTTCTTTTCCCACTCTCTGACACCAATTTGTTACGTCTCTGGTTGTTTGTTAATTTCTGGTAAAAATTCTGTCTGAGAAACTTCAGTGATACAAGTCCTTTCTTGATTAACCTGGTTTTTTCTTCCTCCATACAAACTTTGTAATACACAGAATTTCCACAGTCAGGATGTTTCTAAACTTAACTTCTTTTATAACACACGCTTTAACTCACAGTGATTCACACACTTTACTTACGGTGCCTACTGTTCACTTGACTCAATTATCTATCTCTTCAATCCCACTGGTTTTTCTTGCCAGGCTTATATACTAAAAAGAGGGCATCTCGATTGCACTTGGGCCTTCATGATCATTCGAGAAACTCCAGCCCGAACAACAGCCACTTACGTTTAATCAATAGATAATTAACAATAACTCAATTAAATATACAGAATTTACAAACACAAAATTAAAAGTTAAAGCTTGGAATGGTCTATTCTTTCATTGGGGTGTGTGTCTATTAACTTGTTGTTAAACAAATGTTTAAACAACTCTAATTATTCAATTATGTACAAGCCGCCCAGTGGCAGATAACAATACGAAGAATTAAATTGTGGCAGATTGCTATAAGTTCTTCAAATACCTATAGAATGATAGGTTTCTTTTTGGTGACTGTGAAACACGTAAATACACAGTTTGATTTGTATTGTTCTTTTAATTTTTACATTTACAGTATCTGAAGTTACACGTGTCAGTTTTCATATTTAATACAAGAAAATTAATATGAATATATATGGACCAAAAATCAGTCTTTTGTAAAGGTTAATGTTTTGCTAGTATGATTTAATATTTCTTTTATAATGATGGCTTTTTACATGTAATTAGTTTATGTATGAGTTAGTTTATGTATTTTTATGTGTTATTAGCTTAATGTTTGCTATTTTATAGTTGGGTTCAGTCCAGTGTATGTGTGTAATATTGAGGAATCAAAATAATACAAATATGATTTCATAAGTGAAATATAAAAGTGTAGCAGAATGGATAAAAAAAACAAAAAACAGATGAATTTATTTTGAGTGAAGAAAAATGTAATTTTTCATATTTAACTCAACTTTTATATTGGGTTAATAAATAGTAATCTTACTATTTGTATGGAAAAAATTGATAAATTTTTTGTAATCCATGTATTTACATACCATATAATATGGAAATCAAAGGGCTACTTTGTTCCATCAAGATTGTCTCAACTCCCAGCCTCCCTCAACAAAGAGAAACTAGTCATTAAATCTAGTGCTGGTCCAATAAATATTCATCAATACTTTTATAACTGTTGTAAAATTGTAGCTGTAAATGATAGTTCCATACATTTACTGCCCTGTTGGATAAAACTGCCTAAACTGGAAATGTATCTGATCTCACTAGACTTTAAGTTTATGACCTTTTAAACTACTTTGCTTAGGATTAAAAAAAAGAAAAGTGATGCATAATCTTATCAGTTCCCATAATAATATTGAATCTTTCTATTCAGTCAGATCATCCCTACATTCTCTTTTCAAGAGAAAGAACAAGTAAAAAGATACGTCTTTTGTTATATGACAACCCATTCATCCCTAGAATCATCCTATTAGTCCTCCTCCAAACTATCTCCATCCTCTTTAGACTTGCAATCAATATTCACATATATGCATGCACTTGCACTTACGTACATTTATATGTTTTTCACAATTATCTGTATTACATCAAAGGCATGCAAGTGATTACTCAGCTTTGCACAACCATAGTGAGATAATTATGTAAAAATACAACATGTCTATTATAGATGTATGTACCAACAAATATATGATTCTATCAGCAAAACTGTTTACAAAACTGTTAATTTATACAAAGTATTATATTATTCTAAAGTTAAAATGTCAGTGACTATAGCATCCAAAAGCATTTAGGATATTTCATCTGTCAAACATAATCAAAACAAGAGATGCAAAACTAGAAAGTAAGTTATAGATTCAATAAGTAGTTAGGATCTGTGTGCTAGAATCCACTATGTCCCATATCCTCCTACTGCTCACTGTCTTCTGCCAGTTGTGGACATAATATTTGCAGTTAAAGACATAAAAATAGAAATCTGATATCATCAGCCACTATTGATTTCTGTCAAAAAATAAAAATGTCATTAATGTAAATGAGAATTAGAAATGGTCCCAGCACAAATCCCTGAGTCACACCAATTGTTATATTAATCTCGTTAGCCTGAAATCCTTTAAAAACAACTCTTTGCTCCCTCCCACCTTCCACCCACCTAGCTAACCACCAGTATAGTTATTTTATTTATGTCCTGCTCTGACTGAGGTTGTTTTTTTCACAAGTCTTTTATGTGGCACATTATCAAAAGCTTTCTGAACATCCAAGTAAACCAAATAACCTTATTTACCCTCATCAATATAAGAAGTAGTTTCCTCAAACAAGTTTCTATGTTAATAAGGCAGGATCTTCCCTTTGTTTAAACCATGTTGGCTGTCTGCCAAAATTAAAAAGCATATTTTATCAAACTCTAAAGCTTTTGCCATAACTGAAGTAACTGTAAGAACTTTTGAGTGAAAGCAAAGAAGAATGTATTATGATATATCAACCACACTACATTTGCCATATCCAATGCTGATGAGGATTTGCCCAGTACCAGGGTTCATCAGGCCAGCTGGGATATGACAGACATAATAGTGGTCTAGGTGCATTTAGTCTAACTGGTCTAAAATTCCCTAGGCAATGCTTATCTCTCCCTTTAAAAATTCGAGTAACATTATCCACTCTTCAGTCTTCTTGGACCTGCCTCTATCAAAAATGATAGCATATTTTGCCTCTCAGTTATAAAACCATTGAACAAATCAAGTTATTGTTTACTGTTAAATACAAGTCCTAAGTGTACCTGGAGTGTGTATTTTCAGTTCAAAATTCTGTATATCAAAGTATTTGTCCTCTAAAATTACTAGAAAATATTATACTACATATTAAATTTATTCGTATTCAATTTCTTGCACACTGCAAATGTGTTTAAAGCTGTGTTTTTGTACCTGCAAGATATGTGTGTGAGATATGCATTGTTAAAGAGATGTAAAAAGTAGTAGCATGAACAAAGGTTAACACACGAGTTAAATTTTTATGTAGGGAACAGAAGCAGTCAAGATAAATGTTGATACTGAGAGTAATCTTGTTGCACCTCATCAAAAAGTAATACAGGTGAGTATAAGATGACGAATTAATACTACTGGCTAAACATTTTTGTCATTACCTTGTGTTCCCTTGAGCCAGTTGTAATCTTAGTTTATCTTGGAAAGATATAAATATGGATCACTTTCTCAAACTCTGAAATTATGAGGCTCATTTTATCTGGCTGATTGGATTGGTGACCATTTGCAAAACATGTTTTCAAGTTGAAGATATTCAAACCCCCCTTGAAAATACATGAACTCCTTAAACTGCAGTAGCTGATGATACAATGGATCAGCATAGTGGTAGGCCTCAAGTCTCTTAATGTTCATCTTATGGGTGTGCTTTTTGCTCTTTTGCTTAAATTACATACAGTAGAGATTTTTCTTTCCTTGACATTCTTTTTTATGTGTGGAATCATTTACACGGAACTTTAATTGGACCAAAATAAATGTGGTCTAATGAAAAATGGAAGACCAAGTATAAGACAGAATTTGTGAAAATTAGGGATGTTTTTTTACAACTCAAAACATATTAGACTTACTAAATGTCACAAATTCCATAATTATTTGCAATCTCATAAGTTATTTGTTATTAATCCAAAGAATCTGTTCATGTATTACGATACAGATTTATAGATTTCATAAAGTATTTCATTCATTTTAACATGCTCATACTTTATTGCTATGTCAAAAATCTTGAAAAATATCTAAAAACAATGTCTTATTTTATGACATAGTATGATATCTTTGTACTAAGTCCAAATCAGAGGTTCTTTTCAGCAAATTTCTTAAAATAAAAATAAAAAAGATTACAACTAACTTTTGTGTCCTACTGATCTATTGCACTAATCTGCATATATATAGTATAGTATACATTTAGTATATTATCCTCTCTGGCTTCCAGGGGCCTGTGTGGCCCCCAGACTCTCTGGCCTCTGTGGGCTGGGACTGAGAACCAGCCAGAAGTTTAATTTGCTGTTGTCATCCTTGATTTGTAGTGATGTATCAGTTTTGTGTTTGGAAAAAATCAAGTATTTTTTTTTCTCTATTTACAGACTACATAGATACCACATGCACACGCAGACACTTCTTAAGTGTCCAATTTGCACTTGTATAATTCATACATAAATATGTGTACTTTAGCTGTAGAAAACTGTTGAAATTCTGTTTCACCACATCCAATGGTAATAGACATACATAAAATTCTAACTTGGTGGTATAACAAAAAGACTAAAAATTCTAACGACTGAAACTTTATAAAAGTTCTTAACGTTGTCAAATTCTTTATGTAGATTTTAGAAAGCAGAGGTACCAACCTTTCCTATTTTGATGGAATTCTCCTGATTTTTAATCCTAGATTACACTATTATGATTATTGTCTAGAAATTCCAATTAAATAATTTTGTGGGTTTGGTACCAGAGGAGCTGAGAAATTTGTTATGTGGAAGTGAAATAAAACAATGACACCATCAAGATCATAGTCATATAAGTGTTTGTACTTCTGCAGCTGTACTCAAGCACTTTCTTAACACTGAATAAAATATTAGCCAGTCAGAAATCATATTAATAGTTAGCATACGCAGAAGTTGGGACAGCCGTGTTAGTTTGATGGGAAAGACATTGAAATAAAGCCATCTAGGCATAAATGCATGTCTGAAAAACAACAATAAGATTGTTGGTATATTTACTACAAAAACTAAATCTATAAAGTAAACTAGAGATGAAAATAATGGAAAACAACCAGTTACATATGGTAACCCTGATATAGACCTCTTGCCAGTCATGAGTGCTGCAGAAAGTTGAGTTTGAAAATACTGCTGACTGGGTGTGCATTAAAGCATCCATGCATTTTGTATGCTTTTTATGTTGCAAATTTCAGCATTACTCACAGTGTGAAGGTAACTATAGAAATTAAGCCATTCCATTTTTCTGTTCTTATAGTTTTTATAGGCTTCCATTCCTATTTTACATCAGTTAAGGATAGCATATCTGAAAAAGTGCTTTTGACATGATGCTCCAGATTAATAACTAAACTTTTCATAAATATGAATGAAACTGAAGAGTTCTAATAAAAGACCAGTTTACAATTTTCATAACAATTATCATGAGTAAAAACAACTATCTTAAACAGGTGTGTGTTATGTATATTTATGCTTTATATTTATATAGTGAACGTGAATGTATTTTTTCATTTTTTTGGAGGTTTGGCAGAAAGAGCAGAAACTGTCCTTTTTATTACTGACAGAAAAAAAAAATTCAGCCTATGCTGTAACTTCTCCATTTGTTGTTTGTAGCAATGTTGTGACTGCCAGTTTTACAGCAGTTATTTACTTAAGATCTCTATAATAAAAAGTAAGTCAGATATATTTGTATTTGTCATTTACTTATATATTATCAGTAAAATCTTGTTTACTCATTTTCAGCAGTTGGAAATATTTTAACTTCATGGTTTATAAAAACCTGGGTTTGATATATTGAATAATAAGGTTAAACTTTAACTTTCATTTGTGAAAATCATCTTATTAACTGTGTGTGTGTGTGTGTGTGTGTGTGTGTGTGGAAGTGATCTTAATCTTTAGTTTTTTGAAGTAACATTACTAATCTTCTGTTTTTGAAGGTGATATTATTAACTATATGTTTGTGGAAGCGATTTTTACCAGCTTTGTTTTGGAGAAGAGATCTCAGTAACTTTTTATTTGTGAAAAAAATTTTTAACCTTTTGTTTGTTGATGTATTTGAAGGAGTGATCTTATCATTATGCTTAGAAGATAAATATAATAAAAGATCACTCTAGAAAACATACTATAGGTATAGTGTCCATTACTTGGAACCTTTAAACAATTATTTATAATAGCCCTATTAAATAACCAGACATTGAGGAGGACAAAAAAGTTAATGAGGTAAATTATATAATTGAAATGAAAAATAATTTGTCATCAGTACAAAGTAAATACTTTTAAATATTGCTAATTGACGTTTACTTTCTTTAAAGTTAGGAATTGTTGAACAAACTAATTTTTTCAGATTAATTTATTTATAGTCACTGATTGAGTTAGTTCTATCTGTTATAAGACACTGACATAACATAATAAAGAACTTTAGTGTTCTGTTTTCAAGAAAGTGGTGTTTGTGAGTGCAATGCTTGAACTTGTTATATAGAATAATAGTTGATATGGTAGAAAGCATAAAAGATGTTCTAAAAGTTGCATGGATCTTCATCATTTGAAGGTCTAACTACTGCTTAATAATTATTACATATTGAACTGTATGAAGTTATCTATGCTATTCTTGAATCAACAGGAAGATGTGCATCTTCGAGCTCCTCCTAGCTGCTTCTCAGATCAGTGTATGATGGAACGCCAAGGCTATTTTCCTCATCGCAGCAGAGGTAGTCGACGACATCACAGCAATTATCGTGTACGGTGTTTTAAAAACACTAGGAGGAGAGAAATAAATAGTAACCAGGTTTGTATTATTTTTACACTTAAGTTAAAAAATATAAACTTTCTCTGATTTTTCACTCTCTCCCAGTGGCTCAGCAGTAAGCCTCTGGGCTTATAACACTAAAAACTGAGTTTCGATACATATGATGGGCACAGCACAGATAGCCTATTGTGCAGCTTTGTGCTTAACGACAAAGAAATTGATCTTTAAACAACATCTGAATCTACTAATTTGTCAGAACAATTATATATGTATTTATAGTTTCAAAAGGAATCCTTGAAACCAGGAGCAAAAATTAGCAAAGAAAACAAAATAATGAATAAAACTTATTTTAAAATACCCGTCAACTAAATAAAATACTGTATTATCTAAAATTTCAAATTCATTACTATTCTTTTTAAATACAAATGATTAAAAGAAAATGGTTAAGAAAATTTATTGCCTAGCTAGAAAAACAATACACTGATTCTTAATAAAGTTTTATACATTCAAATAGTGATATCAGTCCAAGAACCCCATCATGGCCATTGGCCTTATGAAATACCATTTCAAAACTATAGAATTTGGAGATGTTGGTTGAATTAAAAATATTGAGACGTACTTTTACACATAATAATGTGTTTTTATTTATAAAAAAATGCTGGTGTTACTGTTTTAACATTTTCTAATAGCTTTTAGGCTTAAGATAACAGAATTATGCTTTCTTTTATTATATTTTTAGGGGACATAGTTTTTTTTATAAAGTCCTTGACAATTGATGGATATCCTAAAACTACATCCAATTTGATTATCTTTGAAATGTGGTTGGTTGCCTAGGTTAACTTGTATAGTTTGGGGCTAAGCATTTGATTACCTTTATTGGCTCTTCTAAGTCAGAAATACATTTCAGATTGTATGAGTAATGCGAGCAAGGATTCAAGTCCTTGAAATGTACTTTAGTAGAAGCCCTGATGTGTGATATCCATGACAGGATTTGAATTCCTGCTGGAACTGATGAAGATGATAGTGGAGTCAAAGTAGAATTGTTCACAGTCACAGGATGGAGTAGAATGTAATTATGTATACTAGTTATGAGCTCACACCTCCAGAATGTACATACTGCAAAGTGAAGAACTGCTTGCAGTTGTCTTTGTGAAACACTTCTAACATTTTTTGTATGGTCAAGTGGACCATGCATCATTGAAATATTTCATGAACTTTAAACACTCCAAAGGCATGACAGCACTGCAAGAATATAATTTAATAATATATTATAATCTGGGTCTTCAACATGGAAATGTAGATGAATTATCTCACTGAACAGTGAGGCTCTGTCTATTCACTGAATGTCCAGACTCTAAACAGCATGTAGGAGTTAAGACCATTTCTACTGATATTAATGCTTTAGGAGCTCTAGATGGAGTAACAGAAAGACCCACATATAGCATGGGTGCTCCTTGTCATACAGCAAGGGGAAATGTATACAACTCACATTGAGGGATATAGCATGGACACGTAACCTACAGCACTTTAATATCAGTTTGTAGTATAGGAGGGTGTGCTGTACTACTGCTAACCAATGAACAGTGATTTTCATCCTGTGTTACAACTAGTGGTTCCCAGGACTCTGAGGAACAAAATTCTCCAGGCTTTGCATAACACAAAAACTGAAGGTCACCAAGGTGTCACACAAACATGCACCAAAATTTGACAGCAGATCTTCTAACCACATTCAAGTTGAGATGTTCAGTGTTGGTGTGAATACTGTATGATGTGTGCCATCCAGAAGAAAAGTTAGCTCAAACAGGCTAAACTTCAACAATTCATTATTGGTTGACCTTTTGGAGAGTATAGCCCATGATATAGCTGGTCTACTCCAAGGGATGAAAAAAGTATCATATTTGTTCATTACATATTTCACAAAGTGGTCCAAGGTTTTCTGACTAGTTGATATTTCCATACAGCCTGACCTGAAGCACCTGAAGAGATCTACTTGGAACAGGAAGCAGACTTTAACAGCCACCTGTTTATAAAGTTGTATGTGTAATTTTAAGTTTGGTGAAGATGTGAACTTCATTATTTATGTCAGCCCCAGTCTGATGGGTTGTGGGAAAAGGTGATAGCTGTCAAGTATATACTTGTTAAATTTGTTAACCCAGATCAAACTGAATAGGATAATCATTTGCCCTAAACCATGATTAGTATATCATGCAGTTGAACAGAGATCAGTGACTCACTGAATATGCTTATATTTGGTTGAGAAGTTTTGCTTCTGGTCGACATAATGTATGGTCCTCCACCTATATCAGAAGTCCCACAGCTCCCACATGAATATGTGGAGTGTTTGAGGTCTGCATTAGTTGACTTACATCTGTATGTGACCAAAGAACCTCTGGTGATCTGGGTTGATCATGAAGAGTCAGATGATTAGGTGTTCAATTTGAATGATGATAAAAACTCATGAGAAGTTATCTCACTATGAAGATGAGGAGGTAAGAGCTCAATGCACTTTCTGATTGTCATAATGAGTCAGGTGAAGAAATGCCAAGTCCAGAGGCTATGATCAGCTCTGATAGTCCCCAGAACCACCAATTTTGATCTCCAAACCAACACAGCTGGGATTGAACCCAGATCTACATCTAGGATGGTCAGGTAATTGAAAAACTACTGACTGAAATGGTGCTGTGATCATTTTCCTTCCAAGCCTCTGAATGGTGACACAAAGCATCATGTACGTGGGAAGCCCATGGATGTGTGTCACAATGAAAAATAACAATGCTAAAGGACAGGAATGAAAAATAAAACATTAGAAATAAATTATATGTGAAAATGTAAAGGCATGCAATTAAGAATATAACCAAAAGAAGATGGTATTAACATATTCCTTTTTTAAACATTTCATTCCACTATATGTTGATTATAATAGCTAGAGTTAGCGATATGTTAGGAGAAATATAAAATAAAATATAAACAACTTATGCTATTCATTTAGAAGATTCTAGAAGTTATGGAAAGGAAATTTGAAAACTATAAGATAAAAAAAGTATTTTTATACTTAACATGAAAATTAATTTCTGTATTGCATGATTAAAGGGAATATTTTTGCATTTAATCTTTGTTCAAGAGTATTTTGCATGATGAAGGGTTTGATTATGTAAATTATTTCTTTGGTAAATAATTTTTCTCTATATTTTTATCATTTGATTGTGAAAAAGGTTTAATATTTTGAAGTTAGTGTAGCATCAAGGGTTTTCTTACATATTTTATTTCACATCAAGACAGAAGAGGGTTTTGGCTTATGTAATGTATTTCATTGCTTAAGGGTCATGATGTCTCTGAGATGTGTGTTTGAAATCCAGAAAGGATTAATTCAATTCTTCACCAACATGAGTTTAAAATTTATTGATTTTTAACACTGGATCTCTCCCTCAGCCATAGATGCCTTTCTGGCAAGGATTTAACATTAAAAATTCCAATATTTATCCAATTTTGGTGAAACTTGTACAGAATGTTTACAATTTCTAAACCAGACAGACATTGACTAAGCTATGACTGGCCACATCATTAGCAAAAACCTGTTAGTTGATAACAGCACTATTTGTTCCATGTAAGCTTTCTTCCTTGCCAGTTGTTGCATCTGTTTTTCAAACCAGAGTCCAATAGGTCTTCAGCCGATAGCTCCAAGCCCTGGTGACCATGACTGTAACTTGTTACTCTTTGCCATGTCATCATCATCATTCACTGTTATTCCCTCGGTTACTTGCATGTGCTTGGTTCCAAGTTGTTCAAATTGCAACTTGTGCAGCTGCTTTGGATGTATTGGATGTATCACTATAGATTTTCTGACAGTCCTTGTTGAGACATATCCATCTGTCAAGCCCAAAGATGCTGTGGCAGCACTCAAAAATAGGTTTAGTGCTGAAAAGGATAGTAGTTGTAGTCTTCTTTTAGATCAGAAGATCAAGGTTTCCAACCACAAACAAATAATGAAGAAAGGTTGTATAATTTGCTTTAAGAATAAGAAATAATAATCAGTTAGTATGTGTGTGACCATTGCTGGTAAGATGGCACATCCACTCCAAATCCTGTTTCTCTTTGACTGTTCATAACTCCCAAAGGAAATGCAATACCATCATTATATATTGCATATTTGAATACAGCAGATTCTAGATTTCCAATGGTGTATACAACACCACCAAGAAACAACTACACATTTTTACTGAAGTCCAGAGGCTATTACAAGCTATATGGTTTTATGAAGTTAAAATTTAAAAACATATGTCGTCGCTTTTTATGTAGTTTATGTATCTTAGTGTCTGTGTATATAAATATAATTTTATAAGCCCCTATTAATGTAGTTTATATATGTTAGTGTCCGTGTGTGTGTGTATGAAAATATAATCCTAATGATGTGGGATAGCAAATTTTTATATTTTTGTTTGGTTATGGTTTTGTTTACTGTTCATTTATTATTCCTTCTATTGTTTAGTTTAACTATGAAGTTTTAGTTTTATTCAAAGTGATAACTCATCTTCTAGCTAGAGAAAAGTATACTTTTGTCTTCAACTTATGTGTAATTTTGACCACTTGTCATGTTTTCTGCTTACTAGTGCAGAATACAAAAAATACAAATGTGTTGTTCACAGCATTATTTACATTTGCTGTTGTATTCCATTATTTTTATTTTACCCAGCTTGACATTGTTTTGTTTAATGTCCTGCTGAAAAAAGGTTAAGTACTGTGTAATTTGTGCCCAGAATTTTTACTAGTTCCCAAAACACATTTAATTGTTAATATAATTATTTGGTATCTAAAAGTGTTTTTTTATTTGAATTTTGTAGGATCATCTGTCAGATAAAGAAGAAAGTAAAGTGAACCTCAACTTAGAGATGACTGAAAAAAAGAAAAAAGAATATGAATTATTGAAAACTGCACGTATACAGACTGGCCAAGAGCTGGTTAATCAGTCTAAAACTACGAGTAGATACTGTAGACGAGACCTGGAAACAAGTAGTCACGGGTATGTTTTCAGTCAGGATTGAAGATTTTTTTCAAATTTCATTTAAATATCTTTTTTGTCATTCTTTTAACTACTGATAAATAAAAATATAATTTATGCCATTGTATAAAATAATTTAATACCTAGATTTATTATATGAAGTAAATAGTGCTATATTACCATAGAATAAATCCAACAACTTAAAGTACACATATTGCTAATATATCTTTCTAACATAACTCGGCAGCAAGAGATTGAATACAAAGTGTATGGTGTTTATTAAAAAATCAATGAATGAAAGTAAAGAAGAGTATATAATAATATGTCAACCACACTGTGTATATCTGCTATATCCAATGCTGACAAGGCATTTCACCCTATACACGGGATCTTCAGGCTAGCAGGGGTAAGACACATATTTTAGTGGTTGAGATACTATTCATATTAGAAAATAACTTGACAACAACAGTTATAGTGTGAACTGGATTACAATTCCATGAAATTCATCAAGCAGAGGCAAAAGAACTGTAGAATGTCAGATATTATTGAATAAGGGTATAAAAGGACTTTTTGTTTTAAATATTGAATGAACTCAATTTTATCATAATTGAAACAAAATTACTTTTTGAGATATGTAATTCATTTATTAATTTAATCATAAATTTATCTTGCAGGTTAATTAACATTTCTGGTAGCAATCTCTAATTTTCACCATATTAAGGCTGTCAAATACAAAAGAAAAGAAAATGGATTTCTGGTAACGGATAGAAATGTAACAGTTCAAATATTAATTAGAACTTGCAGCAACTTCCGCTGTAATAACATTATTACACAGAAGATTAATGAACTTATACATGGTTATCATTGTTTATGTACTGTAGATTTACCAAAGCAGAAAGAACCTCAAGTAAATCAGATTCCCAAGAAAAAGGTTGGTTCAACATACTGGTGTTCATTCAGAAAAAGTAATAATGGTGATGTATTGGTTAAAAATAAAAAATTAATGTTTAATGTAATTTCTAAATTTTAGGAAAGATTAAATTGATTATAACAATATAACAAAAGTAAATATATTATTGATTTGGTATTTCAGAGCTCAAAGTGTTTTTTGAGATAAAATAATAAATATCCCATTATAGTTTTCCCCATAAATGTTTTGTTAGAAAATAGAAATACTGAAAAAAAAAAAAGAGAGAGGTCTACATATAAGTGCATATGCACATTTATATAATTGTTTTACAATATCTGTGCCCTTGCTTAGTGTGTTTATAGCTTCTGAAAAAATGTTTGATTTGTGAAAACTAAAGAAAGAATATTTCCCTCATTTCTTTATTTCTTATCTTTTTTACCATTGTAGGTTTTTTTTAACAAATGTGTGGTGCTTCAGAAGGTGAAAGATCTTTTCAATGTTTTTGAGTTAAAGGTTATTTATAAATCAGCTTTATAGAGCAAGTTTTTGTTTATTCCAGAAAAAGTTTTGTGTGTTTTCGTGTCTTTAATTTATGCATTTGATGTTGCATTTCTAAGTAAATTTTTCTTCAATATGAAAACAGCTCTGCTTCTATTAATTTAAGATAGTAAGTCGTTTGATCAACAGCAGCACCTTATCTTTCTCAAACATAGTGACCATATGATGTGTGTGATTGGAAGTTTTTAGAATATTTGTTGCCTTTTCTGATTCATATTTTTATACAGTCACAACCAACAATTTTTCTTGTTTAGGAAAAAATTGGAGATCATGGAGAAGTGAAAGGTCTTGGCATGGAGGACCAGTTGTCACAAATAGGAAGGGACAGAGGGGCATGGAAAGAGGTGAGCCCTGAGTTTTTGTAATGTTCTTCTTTGTTATTCATGTAATGAATGTTCTGAGGCTACCTCAGTTTCTAAACTGAACAAATCATTTTCAAAATGAATGAAAAAAATATTATTGAAAAAGTCCATGCTGTCTCCATGGTAGGTACTGATAGCATTTATTAATCCTTTCCAGAAAAGAGAGGTATCACTGATATTTCCTGTTATCTTTCTTCTTATAGTGAAAATACTTAAATATATTGTATAAAACTTTGTTCAAAGTTTATAAATATTGTCTTGTATTTTAGGTTCTGAAATGTTTAAAGATTTTGGTGTTAAACACAGCTTTCAGAAACAATAAATATACTTTGTTAGACTTTTATTTTTTGTTCTTTATAAAAAAACAAACATTTTATATAACCAGTGAGTTTTAACTTGTTTAATATTTGTCAATATATTTATTTTAATACTTTATTTTGTCAATTGAGCAGTCAGTTTTTCCTATAAATCATACAAACATGGTTTGGCTGACAAGGATTACCTGATGAACAATGACATCACCCTTAAATATGGCAAAACCATTAATTTTGGTAGGCATAGCAGAACATTAATTTGCCAATAATAATTTTGGTTCAATTTAGTTTATGTCTAATAATTATAGTTTATTTTAAATAAATAAAAAGTTCTTGTATTTGTGTGTGTTGTTTGAACACACTACACTTAACAGTATATTAAATAAGGATTTGTATCATCCAAATAGTTTCCTGTTGCAGGCCATAGCTCACCATACTTGTTAAACTGTGACATCCTTATGTGATTTCCTGTCATAGAAGGACATAATATAACATAAAAACATACCAGGAACATGAAGAACACCATCAGAAGCTATTAAAAAAAAATCTTAAGCATACAAATAATTGAGAAGTATTTCAAAACTTTGTTTTGGGGTTGCTTCATTACCCTTGGCTGAACCCAACTCATTCTTTTTTTTAAAAGCATAACTAATTTGCACATAGCCCTATCAAAATTTAAGTCACATAGCATTAAGGCTTAACACCTCTATATTTTTGTTGATTATTGGCTTCAGGCTTTTTACCTCTTTTTTTTCAAAGTTAATAACCATTAAGATTTCTCAAGGCATCGTCAAATAATGCAATAAATGTGGTTTTAACTAATAAATTAGCAATTGGATAAATAGAAAATGTGGAAACATGTAAACATGCTGAATTTTAACTGGTAGAAATATATATGAGCTTAGAAGCAAACAAAAAAATTATTTTAAAAAAAGCAACTAAAAGTGTGCAATGTTTACAGATGTTTTGGTTCATGTGCCTAGAGACATAATAGAAGTGAACGTTTTTTAAACTTTTATTTATGAAATAAACTAAACAAGCATTATACAGTGCTAAAATATCAGTTCTACAACATTTTTTTTGAAACAGAATTAAACTTGAAAATTAAGTTGTGAGCATGCACTTAAATTGACCTGAGCATATGCTAGTCAGGAGAGGATTAACTGATATTTAAAGACACTGTGTTTTCAAGCTTTCAGAGCTAAACTCGGCTACTGTGTAAAGTTTGTTAAACTCAGTTCTGTTAGACAGGTCACTACACTAACAATGATGCAAAGATTCTGTGTATTGTTTGGTTTGTTAAATTTTTTTAATTGTTGTGAAGGGCAATTTATCAGACATCAGTAAATTTGAGTTTATCATGAAAAACTGTATAATGAACAAAATCCATATCCCTGCTGGTTCAGAGCAATAAAGCACTTTAAATGTTTTCGTGATGGTAAATCATAAAGATATATCTACATAAAGATATTAAGTTATTACTAGGTCATACAAGTAAAAATAAATTTCTTTCTTTTACTTATACAGTGTACAAATCCATAAAAAAATTAAACTGAAATGTAAAAAACTTGTATGTGATATGTTGTTTGCTTAATAGTTTATCATACAACTAAATTCGGTGACGAGGAACCCACTTTGAGACTAATAATGGATGGAGACGGCTTGACAATATTCCTGTCAACGTCAAATTCTCACAAAAACCTGGCCCTAAATTAAAATCGTTACTAAACAAAAATTATTTAGAATCATACAATACCAACGTCATTTACAAAATAACATGCAATAACTGCCCAGATTTCTACATCGGAGAAACAGGAGAAAATTGGAAACCAGATTGACAAAACACAATAAAAAAACCGTCCCATGTTTTTCACCATTGCAACTCAAAAAATCATAGTATATCTATTAAAAACACAGTCATTTTAAACAAAGAACCCAGCATAAACAAACGAAAAATCAAGGAATCCATACTTAATTGAACAAAACAACCCTACTCTAAACCAACACCCTGGGGTTCCTAGATACATCTTCTAAGTTTCGCAACAGTTCCAGTCATGTGACTTCTTTGTTCAGTACTGGATATATATATATCCGTGTCAGTGTAAATTACTTGTACCTGATGATGACAAAACCTTAGTCGAAAC